TGCATCGCTTTATTACTGTTGTACTCAACGATCACATTTTGGTAGAACTCGGATTCTTTGTCGTCGATGCGCACGGTTTTGACAAACGACCCGTGTCGTTTCAGAGCATCAAACAATTCATCATCACTCGCAACGTCGGTTAAACCACTAACTATTACGGAGTTTGGGATAATAATCCCTTCAGCTTCAATAATCTCCATTATCGTCGCTTGCTTGAAAGCAAAAGGGATATAAAATGTGTAGCTGTTAGTTCTCAACAACAGCGCTGTCTCCTGGCTGGCTCGCCAAAGTTTATGTAGCACTTGTCTGAATTATTAGCAGTAATTTAGTAGATATTCTTTTTACTTTAGTTTTATAATAAAGATAAGATTTGAATTTCGTCAGAAGGATTAGGTATCGCTAAGGAGACAGCGGGTTGTCATGAAAAGTAACAGACAGACACAAGATTAGAAGTATAATTGGGTTCACTTTAAATAAAAAAATAGAAAATTTGTCAAGTTAAAGAAAGTAAAATCACAAAATCACATAAACAATAGTCAAAACGATTGACTATGAAAATTCCCACCTCGAGTGCACTCTTGTCGGTGTTTTCATATATATACTCACATAGTCAGTTTAACACTCAGAAAGAAAATAGAAAATAACAAACAAGATGCAACAGAAAAGAGTATAATCTCTCTCTCTTGAGACCCTTAAGTGTCTCACGTAAAAGTTCCAATGTCTCTCAAATCTGGATTGTGGTTGACCCTCAAAAAAAAGAAGAAAAATAGTTCTTAAAATCAAATTTGTGATCGAGTACGAGTAGCACTGGAAACTCAAGGAAAGGATATCGGCCTCCTCTCCACAACGTGATGTCTTCTCCCTTTCTAAAGACTGGGTTGGCTCGCCATCAAACACGGAATCTACAAGACGTCACAGAAGGTCGTGCAGTCATCACATCTCCACGATATCAAGAAGAAAGAAAAGAAAAGAAAACGGAAAAACGAAAGGAGAGAGAGAGAAAAAAAAAACCTGGCCTCTGAATCAATAGCTCTCTTTCTAATACAGACACGTGGCCAACAATGGCGACGGTGAACTCTTTGTGATCGATTTTTCTTTTGCTCTCACACAGGCACAACTACAGGCGTGCGTGATCATAAAATGGCGTCGGTGAACAGGTAGAATGTATTCCTCTATTCAATCGACTTCTTATTCAGAATGCATCAAATTAATAAAATCTCGACTTTCTCATACTCTTTCCACAGATTCTCAATCTAAGATTTATAGAAACGGATCACGACGATCAGATTGCGTCTGCTCTTCTCAATCAAGCTCGTCTCTTCTGTCATTGCGCATGCTCGTCGACACCCATGACTCAAATGACAAAGAGCTCTCATTGGTTGATCACTGAGCTTTTATCTAGAATGAATTTGAATATTTATTCATTTTTATATTATTCACTTTTTTCATCTCTTATCAACTTTTATTAAGGGAACAGATCACTAAATTGTGTTTAAATTAAATTAACTTTATTTAACCTGTGTTACACACAGATTAATTTCATTTACATTTTAATGTGTATTTAAATTTCCATGGAGAGGTCAGTGCTTGTAAATTAGTCTCTAGGTGGAAAAAATTCTCAAAATGCCTTTATAGACAGGCCAAAAAGAAAGCACAGTTCATTTCCACTGGCAAAATAAGCAGTTGGTAATTTGCATCATTACAGTTCAGTGAGAGGGTGTAGTTTTCAACCAAAAGCCAACTTTCCTTAAATTTGCTTTATTGTCAGGTTTTGTTCGACTGAGTGTTCCTTCTGTTTCTTTTGGCACATTTGAAGCAGACGGTACAAAGTAGAACAAGTTCTTCTTCCCTACTTTCACCTGCCACAGCTGCTTTTAGTCTGGTACTCGACTGGCAATGAAATATATATGATATGTCGAGAAATACTTGCACTGATGCATAAAAACAGTGGTAAAATAAGCAAAGTTGTATGTCATATGCAAATATGCCATCAGCGCAATACTTTTCTGTCATAACTTTCATCTGCGGTTCCCATTCGTGTGTATAATGTTTGTCTTTCTCTTTTTTCCTAGAAACATTTATAGTTCACAGGCCAACAGGATGTAGCTCATCTCACAGATAAATCCAATAGTGCAAATGATTCTTTGATGTGCTGAATAATGGTATGTGTTTTGCATGTTACATTAACTAAAGAATGGCCTTGGTAATAAATCCTCAGATTTTATACTATATCAATTTCCCCATCTGAAGAGGTAATCCCTTTAGGCATGAATTTGCTTGAGGGCTCATTCTCTATGTGTTTAAGCTTCTGCTCACACACATTCAAAGAAGGAAAATGTTGAAATCCAGATTTGATTAATTCCTAAAAAAAAAGCAATTTTGTGATCTCATTGGGTGTGTTGTGAGCTGTTATGCAAAACAGTTGTTATATGATCTGATCTGAGGTATTTCGTGGTAAATTTGTACCTGCTTAAAGGTACCCTCAAGTCAGGTAAAGACTGTCAGAAACTGCCAAATGAATTAATTTCTGTCAAGATAGCTGATTTACTGATACAACATGTCTGTTGGTGACCTTAGGAACGTGGTGAAAGTTGCCAAACAAAGTCCTCCATCATGTAGATATTTTATGATTTTTTTTTATCTTGACAGTACAAAAACACACACCACTACTGTTCTAGAAATTGCTCTTGACCATAGACAGCACAAACAGAATCAAGCCTTAGAAACTGTTTTCTGAATTAATTTTGTCTGAGCCAAAGGTTTTAATTTTTCTGTATTCTAGTGTCATGTCTTCGTATTTTTTGGCTTAAGCATGCATTTTAATTATATAAATACATTAATAAATACAGTATTTGGACACATAATAAACACTAAGATACATAAGTTGTATTAAACCCTATATTTTCTTTGCTTAAATTCATTTGTTTGTTTGTTTTTTGTTGTACTGTTTTTTATTAATATATCTGTGGAACACATATTTATTTACTATACATATTTAATGTAATAACAGAGAAAGGTTATTTAGGTTGTAATAGAGTTGTGAATACCAAAATAGATTTTCATAATTCTCAGTACCATGGCAACCTTTAAAGTCGGCATGAAACGGAAGTTGCGATAGTCTAGTCTTTTGTTTTGTGACGTACATCCAGTGCTGGGTAGATTACAAATTACTTTATGTAACTTTTTTTATTTCATAAGTAGCCTAATTATTAATTATAATATAATACATCAAAACATGTAGCCTTCCAACATTTCTCAATTAAATAAACACATTTTAAAAGGGTCAAGTGAAAAGTCAGTAATAAAATGCACAAATCTATTTGACTTGTTAGATTTATTTGTCCCGTCCATTGCTATTTCTCTACTATAGTGGTTATCACTATGACAGTGTCAATCATCACACTTTCAGGAGTTAATTTTAGTGGATTCATTCCCGTGTAGAATGCAGTTGTCACTACCGAAACTTTGCAGTGTACGTGAATGTTGGGTTTTTTAGCAGCATGAAATTTTTTTTTTATTCAAATAGTAAAAGGGATATAAACAGAAAGAAAAGCGCTCCCCTGATCATCACTTAAAGGTGCTCTAAGCGATGTCACACGTTTTTTAGGCCAAAACTTTTTTTGTCACATACAGCAAACATCTCCTCACTATCCGCTAGCTGCCTGTCCCCTGAACACACTGTAAAAAAACGCGGTCTCTGCAGACACCCCAGGCTCCACAAACGCCAACAAAAACAAACTGGGCTTACCCGCACCACGAAACATAACAAACTGTTCCAGCCAATGACCGACAAGAAGGGTTTGGGGGTGTGGTTTGGGGGGTTAGTGTGCGGATGAGGAGGAGGGAGGGTCTAGCTAGCCTCCGTTTTGTTTGACAATAGTTCGAACGTCAACAAGAAGTGACGTCACCCAGGATCGCTTAGAGAACCTTTAAGCTGTCGCTCATTTTATTTAAACACAAGCTCACTGAGTTTTTTTATTCTTAAAAAATAATCACGTTATAATACAGACCTTAGCTGAGTAACCTCAGGTATTAATCACCTTTACGTTAAAGCTGACAACCAAAAAGTGTCCAAATATTTTTATCCTAAGTTTAAACAGTATATCAATTGTTTCATTTCAAGGTTCAGTATTTTGTTTGTTGAGAGGTTTACATTATCCAAGGCATTTGAAGTCACTATATAAATAAAAATAATGAGCTTTCCATTTGTGTCTGTCTCCACTTTAATGGAACGGGAATCATAGCAGGACGTGACGGAATCTGTTAACCATCAGTCACTGTCTGGCTGTATCAAATTTTCTGTTAACTAAACAAAAATATCAAGTTCTCATCTCGAGCAACTAGTGCTGTCTTACAACTTATTATCTCCCATGTCATCATCACAAATTTTAAGTATAATTGAAGCACTGCCAAAAACTGTGGGATCAGCAGTAGCCTACATAGTACAAAGTGAAAGTCTCTGGAAGGAGTGACAGTTAAGAGTGACCTGGTGAAACAAGTTCTAGTTTTTTCAAGGTCATCTTTTTTTCCATGGACACTAAATCCGAGTCAAAGTTTCCTTTTGATAAAATTAAAAGGTTTCATAAAGGTTTAATAAATAACATTATTCAACTGAATAATATCCAAGTCAATTTTATTTTATATATTTTTTTTATTAAAAAGAATCGCTATACACCCTTTTAGCGACCTCATAGTAAAATAAAATATACTCGAACATTCACACATTCCCAACTTTACAATAAACAAAACACATTGTCAAGTTAAAATACAAAGACTGACAGTATCATATTACAATACCAGCATGCAGCAGAGAAAATCTGCTTCACCATATGCATTTTAACTGGAGTTTCTCTGACCACAAAAGACGTGATTCATCAGTCCGCTTTCATTACAGGCGCTTGAATTCGGTTTCAGTAATATGAGTTAAGAAAGAATTAGGTGCGTAGAATGGCTTGATGTCAGCAGCTGACCTCAGGTCGGAGCTGCTGATAACAGGGGCCTTTGCTAGAGTCAGCCTGTCATATCTCATGCTGACTAGGCCATTCCTGTGGGAATTCATTCGTATCTTGTGCCCACAGAGCTCAGAGGAGTTTGGTTAGGCCATAGCAGTGTATAGTTTCAGGAAAACAACAGTGTTTTTTTTTTTTTTTGCCCCCAGAGTCTATAGCATGAATTGATCATTCAGCTTGTCTGTTCTCGGTGTCACTCGCTTCCCCTCCTATACCTCTGTGCCCTCCCGGGGGTAAAGAATACCCGTCGAGCTCAAACCAGGGTAGAAATGCCCATTGAACTGACTAAGAGTAGGCCCGTTGTAACCTAAAGTGGACTGGGAAGGTGATGGGGAAATGGATGGCGGTGGGGGCAGAGGTGATGCCCACTCAGACACCGTAGAGCTGGGGGAGTAGGTGCTAAAGCCTGCGGGTTGCGAGGCTCTTTGTACTCCGTCCACTGGCAGACTGAGCGTAAAGGAACGACTCAGGGGATCTCCTTCCATGTCGAGAGAGCCAGCCGTGACCCCAGACATCTCAGTCAGGAAGTTGCTCAAGCATGGCGACGGACCCGTGGATGTGGGTGAAGGGCCCTTTTCAGGCGAAGTGGAAATGTCAACGGGTTGATTTTTCGGGCTGCCCCTGCCATTACTGTCTCCTGACTCAGAGCTCAGATTTCCTCCAGAACTGCTCTTCTCTGGGAGACAGTCAGACTTTCTCTTCCTCTTGCGTCTGAAGTTGCCGTTGTCAAACATTTTTTCACAGTTCGGATCTAGGGTCCAGTAATTGCCCTTACCTTTAAAATGAGAGAGAAATTTCACATTAAATACAGTTTAAAAATATATATTATATTATTATTATTATTAATTATTTAAAAATATATATATTTAATATTTCTATAAATAATATTTAAATGATAAACAATAATTTGTAATGTTTATATAGTTAATAATATTGTGTGTGTATATATATATATATATATATATATATATATATTGTTCTGAGTTTCCTACACTTTAGAAGAAAAAGTTCACAACAATATATATATATATATATATATATATATATATATATATATATATATATATATATACTACTGTATTTATGTAACAAACAATAATTCAATCATTTGTAATGTTTTTTTTAAAGAGTTTTTAACTTGATTTAATAATCAAAGAGCCGCAAAAACTCACCTGGATCATCCTCATCTCGTGGAACCTTTTTGAAACAGTCGTTCAGAGAGAGGTTGTGACGAATAGAGTTCTGCCATCCCGCTTTGCTCTTGTTGTAAAAAGGGAAGTTATCTGCAACATACTGATAAATCTGACTTAGAGTGAGGCGGCGTTCCGGTGCACCATGAATGGCCATCGCAATAAGAGCAGAGTATGAATAAGGTGGCCTGACCAGCTTCATAAGATCCTCTTGAGAGGGCATGGAGAACCAGCTCAGATCACCAGCAGGAACACCTGGTCCCCCTGGTCCCAAATAGGGCCTTTGCATGCCGTAGTGCTGGGGAACAAAAGAAGGTCCTGTAGGGCCAGGCGTTCCACCCAGATAAGGAGCGCTGTTCATCCCTGGGCTGTTGAACCACAGGTAGGGGTTAGGCGATGAGGCAGCATAGTCTCCGAGTTCATATGAGGTAGGGTTCGCTCGCTGTGGACTCGGCAGTGATGGAGGGGGATAGTAGCTGTCGCTGTACATACTCAATTCTGGAGGTTCCTGTCCCAAGCTAGGGAACTGAGGCCCACATCTCGCCGGAGACTGACCTTGAGATTCATAGGATGTCATTGCTCGGTGATCCTGATGGTGCTCCACTTGGGATTAAAAAAAGTCTTTTAGGTGTTTTTTTTCCCCCTCTCTCTCTCTCTCTCTCTCTCTCTCTCTCTCTCTCTCTCTCTCTCTCTCTCTCTCTCTCTCTGATGACTGTTCTTCTTTTTTTACCTTTTGGTCTATCAATATTTTCAGGAGCTCTAGCGCTGTTCTGCTTGTGTCCTCTCTCAATGCTATTGTGCTTTCTTCTGCTGTATCAACATTGTCACTTGTTGCACCTGTTTTATGCATATATAGCACCTCCTCAGCCCCACCTTATTGAAAGCTTCCACGTGTTTAGGCTCTTCCTGACACAGCTCATGACCACCCACCCTTCCACTCCTCTTCACCTGAAGGCATTCAGAGTCAGACTTTAGCCTGATACACTGGAATTTTCTGTTACAACCAAAAATCTACAACTCCATTCCAGGGGAAATATATAAAAACTTTTTAAAATTTATTTTATGTGGAGCAAGCTCTTTTATTTTTATTTTATTTATTTATTTATTTTACTTTTATGATTAATTTATTCATGAAAAAGTTTCAATTGCAAAGTATAATGCTTGCTTACGGCCATTCTACCTTAACATTTTATTATAGCATACAAAAACCCTTTTAGCTAAGATATGTTCAAAATATTGTTGTTTCAAATAAGTAGCCTACTAATTGTATTTATTTACTTGTTTGTTTATCCACGCCGGGACGTTATAAATTAATCGACGAATCGTTGTTTTTAAGCTAAGGCTGGAGATAAAGAAAAAAAATATATTCGAGTTGATTACACAAGGTAGGTAGGAGCGTGCACGCGAGAGAGAGCCGTTAAATCTGCGTGTCGCGTGCATTGATCGAGCTCGACGAGGAACTGTCAGCTGTCGCAATAAAACAAGAAACATCAAATGTTGTCTGTAGTTCGCTACATTACCAAGGTAATCCGCTTACGTTGTGAATTTCTACTTACACTAAATATATATTAATTTATTAACGTAATTTAAAGCACTCTTTCTTTGGCCTGAGGAAGCCTTGTCTATATTTGAGTGACGGGCGAAAACTGGTGACGAAAAACGAATTGATTAACGTTAACTTATGCAGGCCTACGTTTACAACTTGTTCTTATTTAATCCATCATTAAAATTAAACTAATTTAATATGAGAGGTTAAGTAGCCTAACAACAATTCAGCTGGAGTTACGGAGTTTGATGGTTTTTAGATGTCTGAAGATATTTCGAGTGTGCAGTTATGTGAGGACTTCGGTCGTGAGAATTTACAACTAAACCAACATTTGGAGAAGATGACTGAACAAATGGAAAATATTTCAGGTAACGTTAGACTAACAAACTAATAGTGGATTCCGTATAATGATAATGCTGTACTTTGTCAACATTCATTTCCTTCGTCCTCAGTGAATTTGTCTTGGATGGCCTATGATATGGTTGTACTCCGCACCAGTCCAGATCTGGCTGAATCCCTCAAGAGTCTGGAGAATGAGTTTCTCAAGTGCAAAGATGTCATCTTTGGTCCCACGGATGGACAAGATAAAAAATGTCATCCTGATGCTCAAGAACATAATATCCCCCAAGAATAGATTCAAGTTTTAGTTTAGAACTGAGACCTGATGTTGTTAATATTGTTAAAGTTTATGCATTAGTCTAGAATCTAGATTAGCCAGTTATTCATGTTGCCATATATATTTTTTATTTTACATGTTTATTTGCCCTCACACACATTTAATAAACATATCAACAAAGCATGCTAATTGTGAATCTGATTCATCTAATGTCATTAAAATGCAAAAATGCTTCTGAATGTTCAGCTCATTATATTACATTTGTATGAAGATTTCAGTCTTCTTCCAAATGAGTTTAATGATTTATTTTGTTTGCACATTTGGAACTATTTGCTAAACCATTTTACGACCCCCTTTCTGAGCTTCACAATCACAAGGTTTGTAAAATTTGTTCCAAAATGCTGTTTTTCTAAGAAGGGATGTGTGTTCCATTTTTAGATTTCTGTTTGTGTGTGTCATCAATTTAAGACAGATAGAGACCTTATAAATGATTATATGATATCATTATCTTACTTCTGTATGTAATGGACTTACAGATGGAGTCTGAGGGAAATGCCACCAAGAACAGTGAACACGGAGCCTCAGCTGGCCTAGATTATATCTTGAAGCAGTTGGATTTAATGTCAGAATTTATGGACCGATTGGAAGGTAAATAAGTTTGAATTTTTTTTTTTAGCATAATTCAGTGACTTAGTGACAGTTGGACCTCAGAGTCCCAGCCTTACTTTCTTTAATATTTAACCTTATGAAATGTAATATTACACCCATGTTTATTCTGATATGTACTTTGTTTAATAGTTCCTCTTTCTAGAGTGCTGGCAGAAATTCTTTTGGTGGCTTTCAAATGGGTATTACTTGAATTTTTTTTAAGCAAATGTGCCATCCTTGCCAGGGGTGGCAGTTAGCGAGGAGCCAGAGCTAAGACATTAATCTGTGCCCGTCGTCAGTGCTAACACAAACATATCAGCACCCAGAATATCCCCCAAATCCTCCAGGGCTGTCAATAATAATTCATTTTATTATAGCCATGAAGTTTGGCAAGAAAACATATTGGCTGCATCTATTGCTGAGCCCAGCATATCCAGTCAAGCATGAGCATCTTTGTATATATGAGCATCTTTTGTTACTTGCATTTGTGTTGTCGGATCTTTTTGTGGATTATCAAGCCCTGCAAAATCCATATTTAGATTGATTACTGTGTAAAATAATAATAAATTAATAGATTTTTCTTTTGGATGTACGTTAACAGTAACCTTTGCATAATACATAACAGAATGCTTCTATTTATATGCTTTGATTACAGTAAACATAACCTGTTTGTGCTGGTTATGTTTCAGTCAGTCATAATGGAATAAGAGGGTCTCTTCTTGTGTTCTTCTTGCTTTATGTTCAACCACTACACCCTTTGTTTTCAGTGAAGACCCAGCTGCTGCAGTGTAACCTGACCGTGTGCTTCACACACCCTGAAAAAATGGCGTGCCTCCAGACTGATGTGGAAACCCCAACATGGTTAAGCCGTGCACAGATGATGGAAGACTAAATATGTTACTCAAAGAAGTACACTTGTAAGGTGGAGTTTACTATAATATACTTAAGAAGCACAATTTAATCAGGCAATATTAATATCAAACACTAAAAGCATTAGAAATATTTAAGTTAAAACAGACAAATGTACAGTGAGTTAAGTTTCCACTAGCTAACATTGAGTGTAAAAATGCCTCTTGATTTTAACATTGAAAGTGTTTAAAAATGTAAAAAGTGTAGACAGTCCTGTCTGATCGAATCAAACTAAATATGATTTATTAATTTAGTCATATACTTTGTTATTTTTCTGAAGGAGAGATGAGTGCTTGCATATCCTGCCGTTGAATGCCAGCACCTATAAATGCTCATTATTCAGACAAAGTGTCTGAATTCCATTAAAGTCTTTTTGACACAGGAACCCAGTCAGAATTATGATGCTAACTGGGTATTATTATTAAGATTGTTCTGTGGGTCAGTAACCTGCTGGGTGCATAAGACAGCACTGCCGCTGAGGTCCAGCTCCACGCTCCATTCCGTCTATCAGAACCAGTGGGGTCTTTGAGTGGTGCGAGACCATGTCCATGACACTGGAGAAATTCTGTGACACACATGCAAGTCGATTGATTGAGGGAACTTTGAATCTCACTGAACCAATTACAATCACCACAGCTGATAATCTAACACGCACTTCACTCTTTACAGTTGCTGTGGGTTTTTATTTAACCCTATGAAGCCTACTGTATATTTGATACACAAATTTCTAATTGCCTCTAAATTATCAACATGATCTAATCTGCAAAACTTCACAATCTTCATGCCTTCTATCGTCTGATTGATATTCTATACCTATCATAACTTTTTCAGCTTACTTTTTAGGCCTTAAAGAGCCCATTTACACAACACTGTTTTCAACTAAAAATGGAAAACTTTTTATGCGTTTTGGCTGTTCATTTACACCACAGCGGCGTTTTGGTGGCCTGAAAACGCAAACTTCTGAAAGCAGGTTTCAATGTGCAAGTTTAAAAAAAATGATACCGTTATTGTCTCAGTGTAAACTACAAAAATGTTAATCTGTGAAAACGGTGAGGGCATGCACATGCGTATTACGTGTTTAGTCTATAGGCATGCACGTTTGAATGCATATGTGTGCAGGCGCGTAGTCTTTCTTTACAAAGTGACATCGCCAACTACTGGCCTGGCATGCATAATACAGCGGTTTTAGTCGTTTCATGGATCCGTGTGAACGAGAATAGTTTTGATAACATTGTAATCTGTAAAAACAAAAAAACAAAAAAAATTGTACATCATTAAAGTGTAAATGTACCCTTAGTATAAATCTAAGAAAGTGTTTACACAACACCATTTTTAACTAAAAACTTTTGATGTGTTTTGGCAGTTCATTTACGCCATTACCATCTCTGTGGAAATTACAAGAACGCACATTTGTGAAAACGGCGATGTCAGGCGCATGTGTATAACGTCTTCAGTCTATAGGCGTTTATAGACCTCATTCAGAGCAGTGCCATGACAGGTATAGAAGCGAGGCTGTAAGGGACTCGTGTTTTTAATATCATCCTCTGTAAAAAGCTCTATAAAGCTTTTATTACTTATAATTTTCCACAGCCCAGATTGTCTGGGGTTTTTTGTCTACTGGAATTTCTCAGAAAGATATTTTGCCGTGTTTCGTCAGCAGAACAATCCAAAAACAGATTAAATAACAGTACAACCAGGTTTTGCCAGTAAGGCAGATATGAGCAGATTCTGCGCAATGCGCTATATTGAATATATCATGATGATTTAGAAGTATTTGCTCTAAATCTGCGGAGATTTGTCTTACACGAACTTCTCCAGCAAAGTGAGTAAACATAGTAAGTAACACGCCAAATTGGCTAGTGATTTGACAGTGTACCCTGAGTACAACCCAGTGATTCCCGTTAAAAATCGGGCTGCTGTGAATAAGGTCTATTGTTTCTTTACAAAGTGACATCGCCAACTACTGGCAGCATAATACAGTGTTTTTTAGACGTTTTCACGGATCCGTGTAAACGGGGATTGTTTTGACAATGTTGCCGTCTGTACGCAAAACTTCAAAAACGTAAAGGAAAGACTTTAAAGTTTTTATTACATGTTGGTCATGTAAACATGCAGTAAAAACATTCCCCTTCAGGTTGTGGTGTCTTTTTGCTGTGAAATCTTTACTGAAGAATAACTTCGTAATAATATTTCAATCAAATGATACATCAGGCTTTTGAGGAATGTTTATTTGTACATTTTTCAGTCATCTTTGTATCGCATTATATGTTTTGCTCCCCACAATAACAGAGCTCTTTTAAAAAAAAAATAAGCATTTAAATATCGTCTTACTAAGACATTATTGGGAGAGAAATGGTATGCATATGCATTTTATGCGAGTAGCCTGCTATACTGTTATAAACCTATCAGAATTTCATCTTAAGCTTTGGCCATATAAATATCAGCAATTGCACCAAATTGCATGTTTTGCTTACTTTAGCCCTTTGAATAAAATTGTGGTGTTTTTCTTTGATTATGAGCTCCATATTCTCCTGTATATTATACTATATGAGCCATAAAAGCCTGATGTATCAAATATACTCCAAAAAAAGAAAACAAAACAAAAAACATATTCAAAAATCGGATGACTATTTGATTTCTGTCATAATCAACAGATACATTACCTCAATGCCATTTAGGCCTGTGCCTAGGGAATAGCCATCACTGCTTCCAAGGAAGCGGATCTGGATGTTGTACACTTTTTGCTGGTGCAGCACCATGAGTGTGTAAGGCTGCTCTGTGCAGCCCTTTGAGCTGTCTCTCACCAAGAAAGTGCCATCCTAAAAAAAGACCTTGTCCATCACTCAGTATCTTCAGTGTGTCTTCATTTCACCATACACTTGTTTTCTCTATTTTTTCCCCTCTTTGTCATATACAGGCATCTGTATTTTTTAAAGGGATACTTCAGGATTTAGCATTAAGCTTTGTATCAGTAGAAAACCAGTATTATTTTTCGAATTACCGTGCTTCCCCCCCTCATATCCCCCTGATATGAGAGAAAAAAATATTTTTAGTCTGGAAAAAATCCTCCGATGACGCAAAAATCGTCATTTTGCGTCATCGGAGGATTTTTGTGCCAGAGGCTAAAGACTACAGCCAGTGTTCCGCATGTTTTCACCATGCCCATATGGGGCGGGATCTCACTCACAGAATGTAAAGATAGTGTCAGCCATCTTTCTGTAGAAGCTAAGCTAACAGGCTCTTGCCTCTTGGTCGTGTAGAAAGTTTGTATAGTAGGCTAATCACGATGACAGAAGGTAGTTTTGAAGTTGGCAGAAGGGGATTTCGAAGATCTGTTGCAAGAATCTGATGCTCGCGGCTACCTGTACGAGCCGCAATACAGCGATAAACAGTTGCCGGAGATGGAGGAACAAGAGGCGGCCGGAGCGAGACCTGAGCCCGGCCAGACTCGAGCTGGGGCAGACTGGCGGTGTCAGTGCTCTCGCTGTGCGCCTATGGAAACAGATATAGAGTCCTATTGCTGTCGCCAATCTCAGCAATGCCATTTTCTTCTGGACGAGATCGCTGAATCCGCAGAGCTTTGAGTGTAAAAGTGTTAATAGTAATTCTTTTTTTAAAATTAAAAGTTATAACTCACATTGGTTGTGGTTCTTTTTATAAACCTTTAGTGTTACTAGAGTGTGGATTAGCCTAGATAATGTATTAGCTTAGAGAAATAGTGATTTCAATTGGAGGAAAACAGTTCATATGCAGAGCTACTAAGCTACTCTGTTGACATGGTCCTGCCTTGCATCATATTTTTAATGTGAAAGTCTAAGTTGTGTTACGGTATATACATTAGGCTAGTACATCCCGGTACAACAGAATTTAGCACCATTTCGATGGAAATTTATCAAATAACTCACGATGAATCAAAGCAAGCCTAGTTGTATCCATTTTTCGGATTCTGCCGCCTGTAACCGGTAGGCGTGGTTTGGGAGTGGCCTCGTAAGGGCAGCAAAGCAAGTGCATTCTGGGAGTTGTTGTCTTTCAGCCACATGAGTAAAAAATACATTTTCTGCCTTTTCTCAGTCTAGAATGCTTCAATTTCATAAATAATTTCACATTTCTACTATATAAATGACCAATATTAAATACACATTCATCTTCCCAGAGGTGAAGTATCCCTTTAAGTGTAAATAATTCTAATGAATTCTCTCACAAAAGCTTATTTATTCCACAGTTTATACGAATTATTTGTAGGAAGGGATACTTGAGTGGTGGAACTCACTTTATTCACGTGTCTGAGTGAGATTTCGGCCTCTGCTCGTGTCATTTGCCCCACATACCACTCTGGATCCATGTCCTGAGTGCATAACAAAAAATCAGCCTTTACAGTGTGGTCTAGTATGTGGTCGCTCTCATTATTACAGTAGGAATTGTTTTTTTTTGTAGTTTCTGTGATGCTCAAGACTGGACTTTTGAATTTCCTTTTAGCTTCATTGTCAAACAAACCACAACAGTGCCATCTTGTGGTTGTCCAGCCTAACTGCATGTCTTAGGTTTACAGATTGTTTGTGTGTCAGTAAGATGCCTGCTGTCATGATTATAGGTAGTGATTGCACTAACCTGCCCCATCATCACATTTACTTGTACAGGTGGAAAAGGAAGCTCTTCCCTTTGTTGGATGTCAAATCTGTGTTGAAGATAAAAAAAAAAAAAAAGTAGGCGCTACTGATTTCCGACTTAACAAATGCAAGTTGTCGATAAAGATACTTACCTTTGTGTGGGAAATGTTGATTTAGGAGGCATTGGTAAGGTGTTTCTTGCTGTAAGGATTTAAATTAAAATGTTTAAGTTAAGGTAAATGTGATTACCATACAATACAGAAGGTTTTAAAAATATTCAAATGAAAACTGAATAGTACCTTTGCCAGTATCTTTTGTAGATGAGCCAGGTTTCTTACTACGGTCTACCCTTGGCACAGCTGGACCAGGTTTGGCTGTGGATATGATTTACAGAACATTCAGACATCATGATTTCATATTAAAGGAATTTGAAATTTAACTCACTCACATTGATTAGGGGGAACGAAAGGCCTGTGTGGAGAGGGATCCGGTCGTGATGGAGGCTTAGATATCTGAACGTAAAGAAAGGCTTTACTTGTGCAGGACATTACAGCATTTACAGTAAGATGAGATTGAGATTGTCTAAAGATTTTTACTTACATTAATAAGTCCTTTGGGAAGAGATGTTGACTTGTTGTTCTGGGGTGGTCTTGCAGAACCACGTGGGCTGTCTACACAGAGCCACAGAATAGAAAGGGTGAGTGAATCCTCTGATACATGGATTCTTTTGTTCATGTGTACAGTGATTTATGAATTATAGTGATTTGATATTAATATGAGTTACCTAAATAATCACCATCACCCAGAGGCTTTGGAACACGAAAGTGAGTCGGTACTTCAGAGGGTATTTCACTAGGCGGTGGTTCATAGTCATCATCAGAAATGTCAACTTCCCCAATATCACATGATTCTGCGCATATGTAATTGTCTTCACACACATTATTATCTGGCTCCTCGTAGTCATTGTCACTTTCTTCTTTGTCCTGGACAAAAATAAATGCACTTTTTGCATTTAATAATAATGTCCATTAATGGGGTCGAGAAGACTTTTAAAAAGTATAACATAGCGACTTACAAATTCATCAGAATCCCAACCTGCTGGACTAGGTTCTGCATTTTTTTTTTTTCCCAAAGAAAATATAGAAACATTTTAGGTTGTGTGTGTAATGGGTTAAGTATAACCACAGTTGTTTATGTAGCCGCACAAGAGTTAGTTACCTTGGTTTGGAGGCATCCGATGATCTGATCTAGTCAAGACAAGATTTTAAAATGACAAACTCTCAAACATGAAGAAAAGGTTTTGTTACAAAAATAATCATGTAATTATGAAGTACTGGAGTTGCTTACCTATGAAACAGACTCTTCTTTTGTTTGTTATTCTGGTTAATATCTTTGCAGATCTTTGTGATAAATCTTCCAAATAGTAAAACAAAAGTAAAGAAATAGCAATGATCATTACCAGCTTAACAGACTATATTTTATTTTTCATCAATATTTGGAGGCAAGTTTAAATTAGAGATACAGTATATTATGCAAACCGTCTAAATGATGGTTAGTCACTTTGTACATTTAGGTGATTTTTTTAGAACTCTGTCTGCAGGCTTTTTGGTGTCTTGTATTTGACAGTTGTTATAATCTATATTAGCGTTTCTGTAGCTCAAACAGTGGAGTATAGTGCTACGAAAGCCACGGTCATGTGTTCGATTTCCATGGAATGCATGATCTGATTAAATAAAGTTTGCTATACTTCGTAAACTTTGGTTAAGTGTCTGCTAAATCAGACATAGCAGAGCCAGTAGGCACATGCCCTTTATCATTAGCCAATATGTTTCGTTTATACATTTTGCCATCTCTGTGAGATTTTGTTCCTGTTGTTGATCTTAAACTTACGGGATATGTGCTGTGGGGAACTTCTTCATGTCCTTATCATTCATGTTCTAGAACAAGATACAAACAGGAATTATTATTTCTATATTGATTTGACATGTCTAAGCATTTCGGGGCATACAGTACTGTGCAAAAGTCTTAGGCATGTTGGATTTTCCACCAAAAAATGTTTTAAGAAGATTGTGCTTTTTCTTAATTGTGCCAGTTGGAAATCCGTTTATGTTTCCCAACATTACTGTACTTATGCCATTAATTGCAATACAGGATTGAACAGGATTTTGTATGCACAAGGAGTCCATCAATAGATGGTTTGGTCCACACAGAAATCTGATCTCATCAAGTTCATCTGGGATTATATGAAGAGACATAAAAAAAGAGAGAGAGACTAAATTCATAAGAACACTTGGTAACATCTACAAGGTGCTGTGAGAAATAAATGCAAAACTTTAGTACTGTGAAAGGTTTTAGGCACTTGTGAAAAATACATTATGGGGATGTTTGAAAAATAATGTCATAAATAATGTCACAGGGGCAAAGATGGCAGCAGGCAAAACAGGTGTATCCGGCACGTCAGGGGCGCTGGTTGCGTTTTTAGTTTATAATTTTATTTTAACGTTCTTAGACACAGGTCCGCCTCTTCAGATTAATTATATCTGTGACAAGCGCGATTTCTCTACATCTATCATTCGAAACTACAATCAAGGTATTAGGCTTTACGGGAAAAATGCTGTGATTAATGCATTCATCTACTTAGGTCAACATAAGACTCAAAAACCTTATCATCAAGCCAAATACCACGCAAGCAACCATTGTATCATTACACTCTGTTTGCTCCTCTCTGGCGATGTTCATCAGTGCCCCGGTCCAATTTCAAACGTTGTGGACGGAGCGATGTGGCCTGGTGTAAATCAGCCTGGACTAGAAACTGCATTTGATGTCCAGGTTCAACAAGTTGAGGATTGCAGAGACCTCGCCGGTGGGCCTGTGGATCGGAGGCACAGTGTCTCTTCCCTCTACTGTTGTTTACACGCCGGGGAGTCGACGCCCAGCCCGGTGGATGTCTCATGCGCTGCCGTGCGGCTTGCGGCGGGTGGTGGGGGCTGGGAGTGCGCGGCGGCTGCGGCGGAGGGAGAGAGTCGGGAACACATGGCAGCTGCTGCTACAGATGAGGATAAACAATGCTGCACGATGGCTACGGTGAATGATGAGGACGGTGGGTGTCTGCTGGTGAACGCAACGGGCATGGCGGTGGATCTGGATATCTGTCCTAGAGGTGCTTGTTTACCTGCAGCGTCAGGCGCACTTTTGTCAGTGGCGTTGTCCCGTCCAAGTAGTCCTACTAGATCTTTGCTTCCAAGAGGTTTGAATTCGGCAAAATGTAAGTACTCTAACACACAAAATGAAAGAAATGACTGTTCATCAAACTCTAAACGGCGAACTTGCACCCGGGGAGAACAAATCCATCAAGGAAACAAACATACCGGTAGTAACTGTAAAGACATCCATGGACCTATTCCTGTAAACCCCGTTTTTAAAAAACATCGCAGTTTTAAACTTTTTAAAACAGTTAATCATTCTAGAGTAATCTGGGATCCCCAAAAGAAACCCAGGGGACTATTAGGAGGGCATTTAAATATCCGTAGTGTAATGTCTAAAATTGAACAAGTCAAACATTTGTTATGTGACTCCAATCTAGACTATCTATGTCTTTCAGAAACATGGTTAAATAAGAACTCACCATCGGCAGCTTTGAATATACCCGGATATAATTTATTTAGACGAGATAGAGTTAAGGGAAGAGGTGGTGGAGTCATGGTTTACCTGAAGAATAATATTCACTGCACCCAGATTCAACTATCTAATGTAAATCTGGAATGTATTGGATTAACTATTACTCTTTCTTCACAAATGTCTTTTGTTATGTTTTTACTCTATCGTCCACCTTCTTCTACCAATACCTTCTATGATGAATTTAAAAGGTTACTCAAAGAATGTAATTCAAAACAAGAAGTTTTACTCTTAGGTGATTTTAATATAAATTGGGATGACAAGAGAAACAGGAATTCCTTAAAAAGAATTACAGATAATATGGACTTTACACAACTAATTAAAGGTCCTACTAGATTAACCGCTTCCTCACAGACGCAAATTGATTTACTTTTCACCAACAGGCCAGAAAGAGTTGAGAAAACATATAACCTCATTACTGGATTAACTGACCATAACCTAATTTTATTCTCAAGAAAGCTTACAAATAATAGATTTAATACAAATAAATATCATTCTCAGCATTCTAGAATTCCTAAAAGTGAACTTGAGAATTTTCAAATGACTATAAATAAAATAAACTGGAATGAAATTATAGCTGGGAGGAAGGTAGAGGAAGATAGTGAGAGATTTATAAACACAATTCAAAGTATAGCACAAGAGTTTACAAAAACATCCCAAGGTACGAAAAAAAGTAAAAAGAACTGTCTACCATGGTTGAATACAGACTTACTGAAACTGATGAAGGACCGAGATCATGTATTAAAAGATTTTCTTAAGTTTAAGTTGCCAATTGATAGACAAAAGTTTATAATGTTACGTAATAGGGTCACTCGAGAATTAAGAAAGGCTAAAGCAAACTTTTTTATTAGTATTATTCATGAGTCTAGAGGTAATACTACACAAATCTGGGAGCATATTAAGAAATTAATTGGTGTAAATAACAGTGGATCATCAAAGCAACTACAGTTAAAGCTACATGGTAAAATATCTGAGGATCCCTTTGAACTGGCTGAAGCCTTTAAAAGATACTTCATTGACTCTGTAGATGAGATTACTCAAAGTTTCACTGAAACAAAGAATAACATTTTGGTGGACTGTCAGCTCCAAACTTCTAAACCCCAATTCTGTTTAAGTAACATCTCCGAGCAAGAGGTATTAAGGATAATTAAAACACTTAAGACTTCCAAAGCTAAGGATTGTTACAGAATGGACTCTATAATGCTCAAGTCGTTAAAGGACTGCTTAGCTCCAACCATTACAAATATCATAAACCTTTCAATATTTCAAGGGATTTTTCCAAACACATGGAAAACTGCTATTGTGTCACCAATTTTTAAAGGAGGAGATCCCCAGATTATCAGTAACTATAGACCTATCAGCATTTTGCCTGTTGTATCCAAGGTGATGGAGAAGTGGGTTTCAGAGAAAATAGTTTTTTATTTGAACAACAGTGACTTTAGCCTGCATCCTATGCAATTTGGTTTTAGAGCTCACCATTCAACAGAGACTGCTACCCTTTTCCTTCTGGAAAACATTAAATCTATGATGGATGCGGGTGGTATTGTGGGGGCAATTTTCTTGGACCTTAAAAAGGCCTTCGACACTGTGAATCATGGAATACTTGTTAACAAATTAGCTTCTTTTAATTTTTCCAATGATACCATTAAGTGGATTGATTCATATTTAAAGGGAAGAACAAATTATGTAAAGGTTCAAAACCATAAATCCACTGCTTATACAAATAATACTGGTGTTCCGCAAGGTTCTATACTTGGGCCATTGCTGTTCAGTCTTTATGTTAATGATTTGCCTTTAGTTTGTCCCGATATAGAAATCCTATTATATGCTGATGATGCTGTTATTTATGTACATAGCAGCACAAAACAGCAAGCTGCTTTAAAACTAACCAGTGCAATGAACTATATCACTACATGGCTTGACATTTCATGTCTAACGTTAAATGTTTGTAAAACAGTTAGCATGTTCTTTTCAAAACGACCATGTAGCGTTCCAGACCCTGACATAATGATATCAGGTCAAAATTTGCAAGTTGTGACTGAATATAAGTATCTGGGTGTTTGGATTGATTCAAATCTCAGTTTTAGAACTCATGTAAAAAGTATGTGCAAACGAGTTAGATTTAATTTAAGTAATTTCAGATTTGTTAGGGAATCATTCAACTTTGAAACTGCTATGATATATATGAATGCCATGATTATCCCGCATTTTACATACTGTTTGACAAGCTGGGCACAAGCTAACAAGTCTACAATGAAGTCACTTGAAAGTCTTTATAAACGTACTCTTAAAGTTTTAGTTCAGAAACCTAATAGTTTTCACACCTGTCAAATTTTAAATACCCATAGACTTCTGAGTTGGGAAAACTTGATCACTTATAGTAACCTTTGTCTAGTTTATAAGATATTGCATAGCACGGCTCCACCTCCACTGAAGAGATTTGTTATGCAGAGAGCAGGCACTCATGTCACCAGAGGTATCATAAGAGGGGACTGTATCATTCCCACTCGAAAAAGCGCCTTTAGTCAGTCAGCGTTCTCTGTAACTGCAACTAAACAGTGGAATCTATTGCCAAGTCTGATAAGAGAAACAAAGACTTATCGTTCTTTTACTGGTCAGCTTAAGAACTGGCTAATTGATAATCAGAAATGTGCACATTAGACTACTGACTGCCTACTGATAATTGTTGCTTGCTAGCAGATTGTCTTGTGTCAAACTTGTTTATCTCTCATTTTATAGGCTATGTTGTGTGCTGATGTTACTTGTTATTTATTGTTGTGTGTTGTATCTGTCTTATCATTACTTTTCTATGCTGTTATTATTTGTGGACTGTAAAAAGTCATTTTTGTTTTTATATCTTGATTTTAGGTTGCCTTCATAATAACTGGCCAGGGACAACAGATGAAAATTAGCCTGTTGAGCTAACTCTGGCTCATTTACAGTTATTTTACTGTTAATTAATGAGCACTGTCCCTGTAAAATAAACAAATAAATGAAATGAAATGAAAAATAAATAGATTTTATTTATCACTTAATTGTACACCTGTGCACAGTTTTTAAGATAGCTTTGCAGGTAGGTTTTTCCAAGATGCTTGGAGAAGTTTATTCTGAGACATTTATTCTCTTCATGTAATCCCTTCGTGTAATCCCAGATGGACTCGATGGTGAGATCAGTTCTCTGTGTGGACCATGGGGTCTGTTGTCGTACTTCTTGTGCATTCAAAAATCACTCGATTATTAAAGGTGCTATATGTATTTTTTA